GTGGCTCTGCCCCCACGAACAGGCTTAACTTTCTTTTAACAGGGAGACGGGTTATCCCTCCACCAAGCCAGCACACAGCAGAAAGGCGCTGTCAGGAGAAGTGGGCATCCTGACCCCACACCTGCTGGCGACCTGATCTTGGACTATTCGGGCTCCAGAACTGTGCTCAGTAAATCTCTGCTTACAGCTTTCTTGGGCTAGGGTATTGTGTTATAGAATTTCAGATGAACTAAGACACTGTGTGCAGGACTTCGCAGAGGTACGCTGTTTCAGGGTGCTTTCTGGCAACACACCTGTTATTCTTCCTCTGTCCTAATTTATATCTTGGTAAAAGTATGCTGAATACCAAACTATGCCTAGGCCATATGTACTTTTTAAAAATACAGTTTTATGTACTGAATAATGCTTGAAAAATCTATCCATAGGTTTTTTGGTACTCTTGACTTCAGAAGGGAGAGGTTATTTCTCCTCCTCTTAAGTGTGATCTGTACCCTTTTACTTGGTGATTACTTCTTGTGACCAGAATGTGACGGAAATGCTGACTTGTGACTCCTTAGACCAGGTCATAAACGGTACTGTGGCTAGCCCTTGCTTTGGCCTTAGATTACTTGCTTGGAGGGAAGCCAGGGGCCATCAGGAATGTTCAGGCAGTCCCCTGCCGTATCCCTGGCTACGTGTGTGCAGAGTGTCCACGGAAGCAACCTGGCCTGTGTGGGCCACGCCTTTAGCTCTCTGTGGCCATGAGCAACATCTTGGCTTGGAGGCAAATTCTCAAAGCAAAGCAGCTCCCAGAATCCTCCTCACAAAAAAGTGTGGAATGTCAAACACTTGTTTAACTGACTGGCTTTGAAGGAATTGAAAAAAAAAAAGCAATAAATAAATGGTGCATGCCATACTCGAATTGTTCCCTGTGGAGGACAGAAGGGACAGGGTGATATCACTCTGTCATGTCAGAGTGGCAAAGGCTAAGAAAATATCCAAGGATGGGGCATAAGTAAATAGGAAACAGAAAACCACTAGCAAACAAACCCCAAAGGTGTACATCAAGCACAAGACCGAACAGAGTTGCAGCAGTTGAGCCTCAGCCATGGCACTGAGCTTCCTGGTAGCCAGAGGAATCTGAAAACCCAGTAAGTTCTCTGGCACCTATCATGGGAAGTGAAACAAAATCTTTCCTAGCACTGAACTTTACAACAAAATTCTCTATGGTCTTTGCCATAGACGTCAATCTAGGTAAAAGAGGGCCAGCCAGATAGCTCAGCGGACTAAGCATCTGCTTAGACAGACACAGGGCCTGGGGTTTGATCACCAGCGTGCTGTGCCAGCCCTGCCCCTGGAGCACACTGAGATGGCAATTGAGACTGGGCATGGTGGTGCATGCCTGTAATCTCAGTGCTTGGGAGGCTGAAAAACAGGAGGATCACTACGAGTCTGATCTGTGTAGTAAGACCCTGTAGACCCTGAACTAAAATACATTAAAAAAAAGTCTAGGTAAAAGGTAAGACTCTCAGTCATGCTTCTGAAGATAATCTGCTAGCAAATTTACTTACCTATTACTTGATTCTATAGTAAAGAAGGTAAAAGACTAATGAAGCTAAGTATAATTGTGAATTACAGAAAATAAAAGGAATTTTTCTGTCTTAAGTGCAGTGAGACTTTTGGAAGGTAGAACATAAACATACGCTAAAATGTTTTAAATTTGAACTTTCTCTGTTTCTCTCTCTCTCTCTCTCTCTCTCTCTCTCTCTCTCTCTCTCCCTCTCTCTCTGGGCATGGCATACATGAACAGACACACACACACTCACACATAGAGGGGGAGAGAGAGAGAAAGAGAGAGAGAGAGAGAGAGAGAGAGAGAGAGAGAGAGAGAGAGAGAGAGAGCAATTCTTAGGTAGCAATTCAAACCAGGCCAATTTATCTCTCTGGTCATATTTCAGGTCTTGGTTTGGGGTTATAAATTCTTGTTGGCATCTCATATTTCATAAGAATCTGAATCTTCCAGTAACCCCATCACATTCCACCCATTCTTGACCTGCTGCAACCTTCACAGTCCCCCTACGTCTGTTCAAGGCCTGCAGGGAGGGATGCAGCCCTTCTAGCTGGGATGCAGGAGCTCTCCAGGGGCCTCACTGCTTATGTCACCTTCAGGGAGCGCTGCTGAGGTCTGTGTCGCAGAGGAGGCCTTGCTGCAGCACACCAGGGTGGCCCTTGTCACAGACAGAGGGACGGCCTGTGGGTGGAGCTGCTGGCTGGGCTGGCCTGAGGCTGGGAGGCCCCTGGGGTATGAAATGTAAGGAGTCATCACACACACACACACACACACACACACACACACACACACACACACACACAGTTGAAAATACGAGTGGAATTATGTGAAGATGCTTAGCATGTTTGCAATTCATGTTCCTTTCTTTCCTAGCTTTTCTTTTTGTCTTTCTTGCTTCTTTGCTTCTTTCCGTCCTTCTGCCTCCATTCTGTGGCATTTGAGAAGAAGGGCTGCTGGGTGTTGAGCTCTTTGCGTGGGGCACGGCCCTGGTCCTCCTCCTCCAGGATGCTGGTCTCTGTGCTCCTTGCAGTACCTCCACTGAGTATATCCGCTCTGTCTTGGGACGCTTAAGCCTTCTCTGACCAGTCTAACGGGACCAGGTTCCCTGGTACCTGCTGCCTTGCATTGTGTATCTCTCCTTTCCCGTTCTTACCACACTGACCATTTAATGTTCTTTGTATAATCACTCGATTAAGATAAAATGTGGGGGGACTACCCGCTCGGGCCTCCTCCTGTCTCTCTTTCAGACAGCAGATTTCTTTCCCTCAATAAATATATTCTGCTCATAAAATAAAATAAAATAAAATAAAATAAAATAAAATAAAATAAAATAAAATGTGGGCTTACCAACCGATCTTCGGAATCCTCCGGGGAATGGTTCCACAACCATCCTTTCATACTGAAGTCTAGAGGTGCTCAATTCTCTATGTAACTTAGTGTATATTTGCACATAGACTTTGCGCATCTCCCATGCTCTTTAAGTCACCTCTAGATTACTCACCACACCTAGCACAATGACAATGCTGTGCAAATAGGAAATAAGTACAAGAAAGATCCGCATATGTTCAGCTCAGAAGTGATTCTTTCTATGAATGCTCTTCGTCCATGGTTGGCTGAGTTTGTGGAAGTGGGTCCAGAGGATAGGAAGGGCTGTGACTTATATCTGGTTGCCTTTATATTTTTAGGACTCAGGACAGTGCTTGAGACAGCAGGCATCAATAATCATTGGTTCGATGAACCAATGAACTGATGAATGAAGAAGTCTAATTCCATGATTTGGGTCATGTGTAAGCCAGTGAATTAGTTTCTACGTGATGAGGATGAATTTTCTTCCCAGCAGGATGCACTGAGCACCAAGGAGACCATGGGCACTTCAGCCTGCTGGATGCCAGACACCCTGGGACCAGAGATGCTACCTCTTCAATGTGGGCACAGGAAAGATGGCAGTGACAGGCTGTGTGGCTTCTGGAAGGAAGCACAGAGATGTCCAGGTCTTCCTTAGACACTCCCTGGATACCTGCTTTCTAGGGTTGTCATAACAATATATCATCAGCTGAGTGACATAAGCAACAGAAATGTATTTTTTCAGTTCTGGGGGCTGGAAGCCCAAGACCAAAATGCTGGCAGGGCAGTTGTTCCCAAGGCCCCTCTTTTTGCCTTGGAGGTGGCTGTCTTTTCCTTGTACCTTCGCACGGTCTTTCCTATACACCTGTTTGTGGCCAGGTTTCCTCTTCTTGTGGTGACACCAGTCATACTGCATGAGGGCCTACCCCAGTGACCTTATATTAGCTTACTTACCTAATTAATGACCTGTCACCTAATTATTTAATTAAATGCTTTGTCATCAAATATAATTATATTCTGAGGTCCTGAAGCTTAGGATTTTAACAGATGGATTTTAAGGGGACACAAAATAACTCATATCAAATTAAGAACCACATTTCCCTTACTAATTGAGTGACCTCAGATAAGTTATTGAACCTCTCTGTGCCCCCATTTTTTATCTAGAAATAATAAAAGTACCTAATTCACCAGGTGGAGCAATGACTGAAGAGTGAATACCCATGCTGTGACTGGGACAAAGGCATGGGGTAAGTCATCAGCAAATGTTGGCTTATATTATTTTCAGTCCACAGAAATTTACTGCAAGCAATTGCAGTATAAGAATTGATCTCCACCCTCAAGGTGATTAAGGGCTCCTTAGATTGATATAAAACTAATCAATAAAAGCAACAGGACACATTTTCCTTAGCAGGTGCTTTCTGAATCACCCCTGGAAGAGGACGTTAAGAGCCCAGAGGAACCATGCAGCTAGACTTGGGTTTGGGGTTGAGTATCTCATCCATCTACACTGTGGGCTTCCAGAAGGACCTAGCTCTTTGGTTTCCTAGCAGGGTACTGCCTGAGAGACAGCTCAGTCCTCCTTGGGAAGACCCTGCTTAGGGGCATTGGCCATGACTTTCCATGCCTGAGCATAAGTACCGAGGGCTGCATGTCCTCTCTCCAAGAACAACTTGGAGCACATGCCCCAGGGTCATCCTCAGACCAGCATGGCACTATGTAGGGCCCTCAGTCATCTGTGGTGGCCCCTGTCACCTCCAGAAAGCTCTGTTTCTCTAGAGTCGGATGGGGCTGCTTTTCTGTGTGCCGGGCTGGCCAGGAGCTGGAAGAGCGACTGTTCCCTGCTTTATGGGCTGGTTCCTTTGTTGGCTGAGTTTCTACAAATAGAGAAAGAGGAACTCTTGAGGACAAAGGCCACGGGGAGGAGGAGGGGTGGGGTGGCTTCCCACCTTCATGTCCTCTGCTCCCTCCCTTCTTTCTGATCTGTGCTCAGCTCTCCCTGCTCAAATGGGCCTTCCTGCCATCCGGTTGCACATAGAACCTCCCGGCCCTGTGCTCCTGGGCCTCTAGAAAACCATATATCTTACTTTTACATCTGCTTTCTCAAGGAGAATGTAAGTCCCGTGACAGTGATGCTTGCTAGCTCCTAGATGAGCCCCTGGCACACACTAGCACAATAATTTGTTGGACAAATGAATGAAAGAATGAACTCTGATACTGTGAGCTATGAGTTGTGAAGAGGTAGAGCGAGGGTCAGGGCACTGACCCGTCCTGCCCTTTTATTGGCTTCGAGTGACCATGCACCAGACACTCATGAGCGACTCAGCATGCCGTCAGTCTAGCGCTGTCAGTCTAGAAGTTGCTGGTGCTGCCCTAGGATGGACCTAGGTATTCCTTCCTGGCTGCAGAAAGAGCAGCTGTCACAACTAACCTTTATGCTATTTGCATTAGACTGCATCCAGTGACAATAAAGTTAACCTCGAAGCTCTGAGAGGTATATAGACTATGATTATTCCCAGAATGGAAGCAGGAAGAGTTCTAGAAATGACCCTGAAAATCATGCCACTAGGAAGTAGCAAGTCTAGAAATGAAACTCAGATCTGCCTGCTTTTGCTGTGAACCCTCATCTCTTTTTGCTCTGGAAGGTATTTTAAGCTGTGTCAGGGCCTGCTCACCAGATGGCTTTTTAATCTCTCTCCCATTGCTACATTATTAATCTCTACATTGTTTAGTGGAGAGGAGTGCTGGTACAGAGGAGAGACTCCCTGGAAGAGTGGTGACATTTCATGTGGGCTTGCGAGAGCAGCTCAGTTCTGAGTGCAGGAAGGAGAGAGAGAAGCACAGAGCGGGGAGCCACTCTGGGATCCATCAGTACGGCAGCTGCCATCCTAGGAAACAGACACATCGGTGTCACTGGCAGCGCAGGGCTGTGAACCCGAGGTAGTCAAATATTTAGCTCGTGGTTGCTTTCTGCTATTTTCTGCTCAGAAAGGAAGCGAGATCTCCTCCTGGTGATCATCCATGTTCTGCAAATCCATCATGGACTGCATTTTGATTCTTTCTAGAAACTTCTGGATGCTTCAGGCAGAATTCTGCAGGAAGCAATGCCCCACAGCCTGGAAGCTCTCCCTGGGTGTGCTCACTCCTCATAGTGTGTCATGCTAAGCCTGGGGACAGGCAGCTGCCACCTGCCCTTTGAGTATGCTGTGTGTAGGAGGCTGAGAGGATTTGATGTGGCTCTCTGGTGCTGGCAGCTCCACAGGATGGCGTGGATGGTGCCCTCTGATGAGTAAAGTTGAGGGAGGCTGGAAATCTGGAAAGCTAATTTATTCTGCCAAATATAAAGCATTTTGAACTTGCTCCACCCTTCCTATTTTCCATCTGCCTTATTATTCACCACAGTAATATTTGGGCACTTTGAAAAGAGTGATATTTTAACATGAAGCTATTCTAGGAAGAAGGAAAAATATCCTCATTTGGCATACACCAGTCATACAAATTAGCCTAAATAAAAATAAGACTAAAGGCAGCTTAGAATATTATTGTACTTTTCCAGGCCTCTGCATGTCTCTTCTGTCAGCTGTAGCATCTTGCCATCATGGGTGAGTGTGGAGACTGGGCTTACATTTTGAGGCAGGTTCATGCTAACGAACTTTCTCAGAAAGAATGGGCATTAAAGATCTCTTGCTCTAGTGATGTAAGAACCAAGCCCTTAAAGCAACACAATGCATCCATCCCCGGATTTCCTAGAAGTATATTCTTGCTGTTGGCTCATCAGAGACCAATCCATCAAGAACTTTGGCATTTGCTGGATTTGTATCTCAAAGAGGTCCCTTAAAGTACAGTGTGTGTGTTTATGTATGTGCACTAAGGACCAGCGCTGTGCAAACTGCATAGAAACACTTTTCGTCTTCTGGAGAAGAGAAGGCTATAGTATGTCGTGACCTCTGGCACAGGAAGCCTTCAAAGTAAGGTGGCCAGATCATTATTTTCGTGCCGCTGAGCAGTGGAGTGGTTCTTTCCACTTGTAGCTCCCTCTTTTCTCCCCTCCCCTCTCTTCACTCTTCTGTTCTCAATCTCCTTGCTCTCTTTCCTTATCTCATGTGCATTGTACCTCATCTGAGCCCCCAGGTCACCCAAGCTGGAGGTAGTGGGCAAGTCCAGAGCAAAGACACATTCCATGGTGATTCAAGACAAAAGTTGATCATTTTTTAAATTAATTTCCTGGAGTCATGGCTGAAATGGCTTTGTTGGACAGAGATTCAATCCTCCCCAAACCCTCACCCAGTTATATTTATGGAGAGTTCTGAAGTTCGCAGCCTATGGCATTTATTCTGAAGGTCTATTTCAATCAAACATTAACACAACTAGGAAAATATCTTTACGAGAGTGGCCACATGGAGACAAGCACATCACTAGAGATATTTCACATCTGCTGTTTGAAAGGTCACAGGATGGTGATTGATTTGTTGGGGTGGAATTTTTCATGCTTCATGATATCCACAATGTTGTTTTTTGGACTTTTTCCAAAAATTCTTCTTTTTTCCCCTCCCTCCTTTTCTTCCTTCTTCTCTTTCTCTTTCTCTCTCTTCTTTCCTTTCTTCTGCTGAGAACATGATTTAGCAATCTATTTTTCATCTAGGAGCTGTCTCTCTGAAGGAACAGGTGAAGAGATACATGGAAACATGCTGAGCTGTTCAGTCTACAAAGTTAGTTTTCCTGGTAGGTAAGAGAGCAACAGAGGACATTGTCAAGATTTCTAAAGTGTTTTGTTTTTTAAGTCAAGAGGCCGGTGAAATGGCTCAGTGGAATAAGGGTTTCCCTGGCAAGTGCAAGGGCCTGAGTTCAATTCTTGGTTCCATCAAAAAAAGAAAGAAAGAAAGAAAGAAAGAAAGAAAGAAAGAAAGAAAGAAAGAAATAAGAAAGAAAGAAATAAGAAAGAAAGAAAGAAAGAAAGAAAGAAGGAAAGAAAGAAAAACGGCTTGTTTTTTAAGCCAAGCTTTTAATCTCATATTTTCTTACTTGAATGTTTTATTAATGGTAATTTTGGTTTTTTTTTTTTTTTTCGTTCTTTCTTTTTTTTCTTTGGTGGAACCGGGGATTGAACTCAGGCCCTTGCATTTGTCAGACAAGCACTTATTCTACTGAGCCATTTCCTTGGGCCCAAGGTGTTTTTCTTATTCTTCTCGAAGAGTTTCATTTTCTCTTCATCTTTCCTAAAGTTCTCAATTGTTGCAATAAATCAGATCCCAGTATTCAGTCATGTGGTTGATTTGTATAAAAGCCTCAAAACAATGCACTGTCTTTGATTTAGTGATTCCAGTTAGAGCTATTGCTTCATGATGGCATGTGCAAATATTTAGGCATAATGTTGACCATCAAATATCAGAAATAAGATGAAAATTGGAACATTATGACATTAGTTGCATAAGTTATAAACATTGATGAGATGGAATATTATGCAGTCATTTCAAATGATACAGAGGATGAATGACATGAAAACTGTATTATTTAACAGAGATAAGATGATAGTTCTAGTGTTGCCTGATCTTGTTAAATTATGTATATATTTTTTGAAGAAGAGAGCATTAATAGATACATTAAATGTAAGTAGTGATTCTCTGAAGAATGGGACTAGAGATAATTTTAAGGCTTTATTATTTTTGCTCATCAATTTTGCAGTTTTACATTTTTTTTGCTTATGTGTATCTTCTTGTACATATAGACATGTAGCATAATTTAAACTTCATTCTCAAATAAACTTTATCCTCTTATTAACATAGAATTTCTACTTCTTAAAAAATTCAGGTAAAATAAGGAAGGATTCAGAGAACCTGTTTGGAGCTCACAGCCGAGCCACAATTAGTAATTTGTATAATTCAGAGTTAAGGTCTAAAAATGGCTTAGGTGGTAGGAGGAGAATAGAAATAGGTCAGGAAGAAGAGAAGACTGAAAGGGCTGGATTTTGCAGATATTGGCCAATCTTTGGGTCTATCGTGCTACTTCACACAGAAGAGGATGAAAGGAGTCAAGTGGCCAAAAGATAAATGTCTTCGAAGCCTGGTAGTGGGAGTGTACAGAGGATTTCTCTTTAGTAAACCCTGCAAGAAGATACTGAACGAGGGATATTTCCATGGGACTACAGTGATTTGTTACTTTGGGGATATAGTACCTGTATGGCTAGTGTTAAGGGCCAGATTTCTGAAGGCACATGAGATCTAGGTTGCACGGAATTACCTGAGGCCACTACCTTGAAATTAGCCAAACAGTAAACCAAGTCAACCAAGGAAAGTTACTGAGGTTATGTTACAGTCTTTTCTTAGGTGTAGAAGTGAAAGTTCTCCAAGTGATCCATGCCTGTGACAGACAGGACTTTGCACTGGGTCATCCCCAAGACATAAGAGGGAGACAGGCCAGACAGATGACAGAGAGGAAAGCAGTCCAAATAACATCCAAAGACTTCATTTAATAGAGCTCAGTCATGTGGAGAAGGTGAAAAAGCAACAGAAGAGAAACAGAAAATATAACAGTGGCAAAAATAGGAAGTTCGTTCCCTATGCACTGAAACCTTACTCACCTCGATCTTAAATTAATTCCAGAGTTTACACTTATGAAAAAATATTTTGCCTTTGCTGAGTGTTCTTGGCAGAACAAAGCACCAGCCTGATCTGGCACAGCAATCCCCATGTGTTTGTTTACTTGCTTTTAAAACTTTGGGTGCCTCGAAATCAGGTCTATTGCCACACCCACAGTCCTGAATGACAGCCGCGAGCACTGCAGGATTCTCAGCCATCAAAGAACTACGCTTTCGTGAGCAGATCCATCCTCTTTGAGCAGCGGCAACTGCTGATGTTATACCTGGGGAAGAATTTTCAGTCAGGGAGGCACAAGATCAAAGAGGTTTGCTGTGATTGTGTTTCCCTTTTGCATAAAGCTTCTTTTGACAAGAAGATTAAATATACCAGAGTGTACTCCATTCACTTATTTATTCATTGAGGTAGCCAGCTTTCCATGGCTGTCACAAAGTACCCAAGAATAACAACTTAAAGGAGGAAAGGTTCTTTGGTTCGTGATTTCAGAAGTTTTAGTTCATGACTGGTTCACTCATTATTTTAGACTTGTGGTGAGGAAGAAATATCGTGCGTGTGTGTGTGTGTGTGTGTGTGTGTGTGTGTGTGAAAGAGAGAGAGAGGGGAGGAGGAGGAAGGGGAAGAGGAAAAAGAGGAGGAAGAAGGGGAGGGAGAGGGGAGGAGAGACAGGGATAAGATACACTTTCCAGGGCATTCCCCTCCCCCTGCCACATACACTGTGATCAGTTTCCTCCAAGTGGGCTATACTTGGAGGAAACTGATCTTAGTGTTGTTGACTAAAGTCTCCACCACCTTCAGATAGTGCCATCAAATTGCAAACCATGACTGGATTAGTCCACTAATGAGGTTAGAGCCCTCAGCTCTGAACACTGCAGTGTGGGGGCCAACCCTTTAACACGTAAGATTTAGAGGGACATTCTACATCCCAACTATAGCATCTATGCATTTGTTCAATCAACAAATGGTTGCAGAACATGTGTAGTATGCCAGGAACAATGCTGGTGTTAAGGATAAGGATGGAAACCCAGCTCTTGCCTTCAGGAAGTTCTGAATCTAAGATACCTACTGCTTGGGTGTTATTATGAAATATATCACTACAATTAATATGCTAACAAATGGAAATGCTTCCAACAATTTCTCCAAATGAATATTTTTACTGATTCCTTAAGGTCTTTGAAGTATTGTTTTCTTGATATCAATTTTCCCATGAGATTGGGCTGTCTTCCACTTGCCCCTCTCCACCCTCCTTGAACCCCTCTGTACTGGCGGTCAGCACATGCACCATTGGCTTCACAGGTGAGAGGAAGAAGGACAGGAGTGGGGCTCAGGGAGAGTATGGCTGTGGTGTCAGTTGCACCAGCTTCCTCCCTGCCTCATTGCTCTACAAAGACTTCAACAGGGAGAACTCCACATATCTGACCCTTCTGGTTTCCTAAAACAACTCACATCTTAGAAATAGTCCCTATCCTAAACTTTCCTTACATGACCTAGCCTGCATTACCCTCTATTTCATACTTTCCTGTTAGAGTGGTGAAGGCCTTTGGTAAAAAAAAAAAAAAAAAAAAAAATAGGGTTTAAATAGAAAGTGTCCCCCAAAGACTCATGGTTGTGACCTTGTGCGCCTCTTCTTACTCTAATGTCTCTGTCAAGCCTCTCTGGCAGTTGAAGTCCATCTTAGCCAGAACCCCTGCCAGTGCATGGGTCACTGCTGCCCCTGGGCTGGGTGCAGGGATTGCATAGGTCTAGGTCCTGGCTCTCTGCTCACTAGCTACCAGAGTCTGGTCCACACTTTCCTGCTCTATCCTTGTAGTGGGCTGTATCACCCTGTGTAAAAAGAGATAGGTAACTTCCGTCACTGCCCACTTACTCGCTTACAGGCTGCCCACTGTGTTCTAGGCACTTTTGTAGGTTCTGCAGAAACTGTTTCTTACTGCATTTAGAACATAGGAATAAATGAATGAATTCTACTTTGGGAGGCAAAAGGAAGGGAAATAAATACTTAAGTCTTAACTTGAATACGTTTTGCTGGAGTTTCTTCTTCCTTCTACTTTAAACACATCTTTGCCACATCCTTTCATATTTTCTTTTAGAGATCACTTGCTTTACCTTCAAATGTAAGTAAAACAATTAATTACAACTTTTATGACAGTATTCAGTGATCTGATTTTACTAATTCTGGAACTAGCATTTATTTTTAAAAGCAATAGATCTAAAATCATCAAAACTCAACTTTTAAACACTTGTAACTTAGATTGTGAGACACTCAGCATTTTGACCAGATACACATAATGAAGCTATTTCTCTCTTTTCACTAACTACACAAATTGGCTTGATTTGCTGACATAGATCTGACAAAATTTCTTGAATAAAATAGCCTACACCACAGGTTGCCATTCATTTAAGAGATTCTAAAGGTTTATTTAATAAAGGCTAATAAAGATGTTTTGTAAAGCTCGTGTACTGTTTGGGTGATACATTAATTTGGATTTGAAATCTCACCGAAGGTCCTTGCACTGAGAACTTGGTCCCCAAGCTTTAGCGCTACTAGGAGGTGGTGAATCTTTAAGAGGCAGAACCTAGTAGAAGGAAGTTAGGTCACAGGGGCGTGTCCTCGAAGGACAGAGTGGGACCCATCCCCCTTCCTGTTCATTTTTACTTCCGGCCATGATCAGCGTTGTCCACCATGCAACTCCCACCACGATGCTGTGCCTCAGCACAGGCCCAGAGCAATGGGCCGACTGACCATGGAATGAAGCCACTGGCCTTGATAAATCATCCCTCCTTATAAGTTATTCGCCTTTGGCATTGTGTTATAATCGTGAAAGCTCCCTGACACAAGTCATATTTTTTCTTAATGCCATAATTAATGATTTGATTTTAATAGTGACTCTTTTTGAGACAGAGTCTTGCTATGTAGTTCAAGCTGATGTGAACTCACTGTGCAGCCCAGGCTGGCCTCGAATTCAGCTATCCTCCTGCTTCAGCTTACTGAATGCTTGGATTACAGAAGTGCACCACTACGCCCAGCTCATAACAGTGACATTTATTTATGTATTTGTTTATTTATTGGTGGTACCAGGGATCGAACTCAGGGCCTTGCATTTGCCAGGCAAGCACTTATCCCACTGATCTATCTCTCCAGCCCAAGTGACTTATTTTTATACGTAAAGTTGAAAAGTACAGAAGACTTTATGGCAATTGGTTCACAAACAAAAGGCCACATAATTAGTCTGAAGAATTCACAGACTATTAAAAACATTAACAAAGTTTTATTGCATCCCCTAGGAGAGAAATAATGGATTTATAAATGGGAAACTGGCCTTAGAATGAACGTGTCAGGAGAATCCACTTGGAAACTAGAAGAGACAGAAACAGAAAACATGACTCCTGATTCCTGTTCCATTACTTTAATCGCTGAACACCACTCAGGTTAAACCAAAGAGCTATAATGGCGCATTTGACAGGTGCCTTCCCATCAAGATTAGATAGACGCTCGGAGAGTGTGTGCTGAACCTTTCTTCCTGTCTACTGACAGTGTCACTCAAAATCTCTCCCCTCAGCGCCTCGTCTCTGCCTGATCACGCAGTTCAGAGGCGTTTCCACTGCGACCCAACAGCCTCCCCGGCTGGACCCTGCTTTACATGAAGTACCTGCGTGTGAATAACACAGTAACCGTGCAGGTTGTGCTCCAAATGCTCCACGGGGACCTCACTATTTAAAGGAACACTGAAATAAATGCCTGTGTAAAGCAGAATACCCTCTCTGTAATGTAAACAAAATGAGCCTAGATAAAGCTTCCAATTTACCTCATTTTGGATTGTTGCATATTGGGTTTCATTAAAGCAGAACGTATCTGAAAATGAAAATATTTTAAGCCTCAGCCTTTTACCCTTCATAATAGTTTTTTTTTTAAAAAAATCTCATTACAATAAAACCCATTACTTTGAATAGTTAAATACAGAAAATTACTTTGCAGGTGTGTTGAAATTTTAAAAGGAAAAAAGCCTGTACAATTGCATGTCTTGTCTTTCCAGCTTCTGTTTCAGTCCTGCTCTGAAATGGCCCACGCTATAATGACTAACATCCTGCAGAAAGTACAAGGTGGGATGAGTGTTGCCTGACCCTGGGCTCTGACAGAGTTTTAGGATAACAGAGACAGCTCAGAAGGAATGGGCAGGCTCTTGAGACTCCCAGCATTGAAGAACAGCCCCCCGGATGCGCTCTGTGTTACACTTACCACTAACAACTACATGGTTCTCCCAAGGAATGAGGCTTAGAAGTGTTAAGTACTGTGGCCAGTGTCACCTGAGTTCTACACAGAGGTCAGACGTGAAACTCACACCCCTGCGTCATCGGAAACAAGGGCTCTTCACCCCTCTGCCTGCTAGTAATTAACTTGCACCTGAACCTGTTGCTATTTGAACATTTTTAATGAATAAAGGTGAATTTCTAATGGGTCAGCTGCAACCACGCTGCCCCACAGAAATCAAACTGGGAAGAGTAACAGTGATCTGAGGTGACTTGAGTCCGTTTTCTAGGACACAGCCCAGGGCTGTTTCTCTTCTCCAGGCCCGCATCTTCCCATGCTCCTCCTGCCTCCTTTTAGATCTACTCCACACAGCTGCGTTTTTATTTGGGCATCCCCATGGGCTCCATGTGTTCACCAGGTCTTACAGGAAGGGCTGGAGACACGGCATCAGTGCAGTCTCGCTCCTGCCCCAGCTGGAGGAGTGGCCAGGCTCACCCTTCCTTTTCCCAGGGATGAGCCCTGGGCCTTGGACGCGCTAGGCAGACACCCTGCCATTGTGTTACATCCCAAGAGTAATATGTTGCTGAGCTGAAGGCCTTTTCTAGGACAGGTCCAGCTACCTTTGCAAAGTGGGGAGGGCCTCTCTGATCTAGCCCACCCCTCAGGAAGGCACTGAGAAGAGGGCAGCTGGCCCGTTTGTGCATCCCTCCCTACCCTGTTTGCTCTCTAGGACCTCATGCAGCCAAAGTGTCTTTATCCTGGTGGCAGAATAAAGTCACAAAGAATATGTTAAAAGGAGATCAAAAGTCTAGATTCAAGGAACGCTGGTCATTCTTCAAGTCTAAAGGCTGGTTGTTTCACCACTCAGTGGAAGCAGTTTTCATTGCAGTTTATTTCCTTGGAAGCTGAAACTCCATGGACTGGCTTCTGTCCTACATACCGTATTTCATTTTATCTGGGTGCCTGTGCTATTACAGCTCAAATCATGAGTGTTCCCATGTTCCATGTGTTAAAGACTTGGTCACCAGCTTGAGGCCCAGTTAGGAGGCAGTGTGACCTTTAGGTAGAGTCTAGTGGAAGGAATTTAGGTCATTGGGGGTATGCCCTCAAAGGGGATGTCGGGATCCCAGCCACTTCCTATCTCTCCTTTGCTTCCTCATTGCCAGGAGGTGAAGGCGATTCCCCAACACATGCCTCCTGCCATCATGTGCTGCTTTACCACAGGCCCAAAAGTAGTAAAGGGTTGAGACCATGTGCTAAAATAAACCTTTTCTCTTCATAAATCTGTCATCTCTGGTATTTTGTTATAGTAACAGAAAGCTGACTAATACACCATTAAAGTACAGTATTTTGAACAAATATGAAAATTAATGAAATTTTACTTATATATCTATATATTCTTTTATTCATTATGGAGAGTTTACTAAAGTGAGCTGATATTTCACTGGGCTTTAGAAAAAAAACAAGATAAGCAGTTACTTCTTGTATAATACTGCCTTTTGGAGCAGTGGGGGGTATGTCCTGCCCAGTGCATGTGATTTTACATACTCTACATATGCCTGATACACTTTCCTTCAGAACACAATCTCTTCAGATGTTTTAGGCCAGACATTAAATTTAGTGAGTGGGTAGGACTAGTTTAGGATAGAAAACAAACTTACCTGGTATGTTCCAGGTGAGTTTTGCTTGTTTAATGGCGGCATAGTCTTCACTTGGGGCTGACCCTTTGTTCTAATAAAACAACCCTCACTTATTCTGAACATTGGGGTGGGATGTCATGAAGCTGGTAATTATTAATGGCAGCTAATGGCTGGTAGTGATTAATGACATTTGTGAGAGCAGGATAAAAATAATAATTATAATAATGTGAGTGTCACGAGCAAACAGTAATTGCAATAATGATTGCTATTATAATAATGAGTGAGGAAATGATTTCAGGTTATTAAATCCGAAGTGTAAAGGAAGCCTGCATATGTACATATGCATGTGTGATTGTGGCAGGTTGCCAAATAAAAATAATAGACAATCCTGGTTGAGGACTTAGTGTGTGCCAGGCATTGTGCCAAAGACGTGGCGTGCATTATCTCACTTAATCTGCAGTGTTTCTGCAAGTAGATATTATTGATAGCACCATTAACCTTGTACTAATGGGGGGAACAGAGATTTTAGAGCAGCCATGCAATTTGACAACAGGAACATGACAGATGGTCAATGGCAAAGAAGGGAATTTGAAGCCAGGTGGCTCACACCAAAGTCCGTGCATCTAGCTAGTGCCCTATGTTGGCTGCAAATCAGATGATATCTTCTATTATCTGGGCCAGCACTGACATCTTCTTATGTGTCAAGCAGCTCAAGGGTGTGGATCTTCCTGGCACAGCATCTTAAACACAAGGGTTAGCATCAGGAGCTCCCCACTGCCGGGGTAAGTGGGACCCATTAAAGACAGGGCTGCAGAATTTCTAATGTGGAAACACAAAGTTTCTCAGTAAAGAGGAGGGGCTTGGTTTACTCCCTGGGTTGGTTATAAAGCCTGGTATAGATGCACCTCCTGGGGGCGTTCTGATCAGAGCTGTGGTCCAAGCCATCTCTTCTCTCCCTGTAGGCAAATGGTGACACCACCAGTCTCCACTGGCCACGCCTTACACGCTCAGTAAAAGTCATACTTTGTACATGTCTGTGTTGCTTTCAGATTCCAAGTAGGCCTGTCCAGTCACAGTGAATATGAATCTATTCCAAAATCAAAGGCCTGAGTCCTGAGTGATTTGATGTAAAAGCCTCTCTCTTAGTTTCTGTTTTCCAAAGGTATCAGTTGAGTTCGGTCCCTTATTCAACAGTGGGATAATAGGACTGTCAACTGATATTTAACCTAACCTCCAGTTACCTATGCATCAATAAAGGTCATCAGTTTTGCAACAAATTATAACAAAAATCACATATACTTAATCCTAAAATCCACACTTACACCCAACCCTGCAGTATTATTCAGTGCTTATGGAACCCGCGGGCACTCCAGGGTGTCATACAGCTTGGAGTCATCACTGACAGCAGTGGTTGTCACTGTGAAGGAAAAATACTACCACATGAGCCCTGGGTTGGGTGGGCTTTGTGATAATTGGGGACGGTTACTATTAGCTCTGAAAAATGATTCACAGCAATAAGAGCTCTAGGTAGTTCACAATTCAGTTTAATGTGGATGAAATATGCAAAAACCTTTTCTCTAAGAGCGCAATAATGTGCTTCTTCCCCCGAGGAACATCATTATACTTCACAGCAAATGGACATGAGTGGGACTGGCACGGACTTCATGGCCTCAGAGGTCATCCCCCAGATTAGTTATTCAGCATTTTCTGCTTGGATGGAGACACACAATTTCAGGGTGCGGTTGGAGTTCTTTTTCTTAAAAGTTTATTTCCAAACCAAAACAAGGAAGTCTAATCAAAGTGACATACAGCTGGAAGCCATGGTGTAGTACAAGAAAAGGGGGTGCTGGCACACTTCTGGGTAAAGTTAGAGAATTCAGGCAGAGAACCAGACAAGAGTATGTAGACACCTTCCCTGAGCATCTGAGAAATCACGCCACACTAAACTCACCATCCTGATATTTAAGCCGGTGTATTCCGCTTACGAATAGATAGCTCACATAAAAAATTAGGCAGAAGTAAAAGACACTGAGTGATCAATATTATGAAATTTGAAATCTTCCCACCTCTTTGCCTCCTAGGTTAAATTTCCTTTTTTTTAAAAAAAAAAAAATGTATTTGTTACAGGGTCTCACTACACAGCTCCAACTCATAGTGATCCTCCTGTCTTCAGCCTCCCCATTGCTAGGATTACAGGCATGAGCCACCATGCCCAATCTTGGTGTCGGCTCAGTGTACCTGGGGGCAGGGCCGGCAGGCAGGGATCAAACCCTGGCCCCTGAGCTTGCCTAAGCAAGCACTTAGTTTGCTGAGGTATCTCGCAGGCCCTCCCAAAGTTAATATTTCATGAGCGTTATTTCGATCAGGTTCATGTTTATGTTTCAGCAGAGCAGTGCTCAGGCAGAAGCATGCCAAGAGGCCAGTACTCAGGAATGTGGATAGAGCCACACCACACCGTGGAGACTGTCTGGGTCGAGGGCCAGTGTGTTGAGGTACACAATGAGAAGATATCTTTGTGGAAATGCAGTGAGTTTTGGCCAACTACCTTTTCTTTTGTTCTTTGTCGAAGTCCTCTGTGGATTATGTTTATGGCAAGAGCAAAGTGACAAAAATGGGGGGAAAGAGGTTCATTAAATCAAGAAAGTTCAGTTATAACTGCGGTGTCTCGGTACACAGGGGAGGAATACATCGCTCAGTAGATAAACTGTTACTCCATATTTGGAAAAGGTTCTCATTAGCATTTCCTCTACCTACAGCAACTTCTTAGATTTTACTGTCCCTTCCCGTATTTATCTCCACTAGGAGCATTTTCATCAACACCGGGCACAGTATTTGGTACTTAAGCGCTCTCCTGACACTTTTTCGTATTCACCAAATAGAGTCATAATCCTTAGTGTGTAACTTCAAAATCCTCTACACAATAACCGATTGCCTCTCCAAATAGGATTGTGACTTCAGATGGAGAATAAGCTGCTGAAGAAAATTAACTTTCAAGAAATGAAAGTCCTGTTTCTGTGTACTTGGACGCAGGAAAAGAAAAATCCAGGAGCCATCACACAAATGCCAAAGCATCCTTTATGTTGCCTATAGAACTGCAGGGCCAGATGGTCTTTCGCAAGGTCACTCTGTCCTCTTATTCAATGTTCAGATAGCCGAGGACGAGAGAGACTCATTTCCTGAAATCAGTTGGCCCCCTTTGACAAATATTCTTGAGAGGCTGTGGCTCTTACACACCTTAATTCCTAGCTGAAAAGATACCTGAACAACCTCATGTAACCATTTCCTCTTCAGAGTTTTAGACATTAGCTGAAGACTTTCTGCAACTTGCTTTTCATGAAGGGATGAAAAGCTCTCGGAAGTAAATGGAAACCAGCACATCCTTTCTGGTTTGGACACACACACACACACACACACACACACACTTTTTTGAAATGTCCTGTGTGCGTTCACATGATTACCGTGTTTTCCCTCAAGGCTGAATTAGCAAAGATGAAAGCAAAGCCACAGAAGCCTAAAAATGCCAGATCAAGTAGAGTAGTGTAGTGTAGTAGTTCTTTATCTTAAACCTGCCCCTTCCAGTTTTCAGGATAGGTTTTTCAAGTTTTAGGGAGCCAGATGGTCTCCTCCTCCCCCTCTGGGCCCTCCACACCATGAACCTTTGATCACCTCTCACTCAGTCTTTGTGCTTTCAGGCTGAAAAGCCCCGTCAGTGTAGCTCTTCCTCATTTCCTTGATCCCTTTCATTCTCTTCTGGGATTTGCTTGCCCTCTAGGACTTTCCTGAGAACTCACCCGACTTCAGCTGGGCTCTGATCATTCCTCACTGGCTCTCTGGCTAGCACAGGTCTAACAGCTGGTGTTTTGAACCCTGGATGTTCTCCTCTGGCTCCAAGCTCTCTTCTCACCAGAAAGCCCTGTCTCACCCTCTCGCCTTTGGCTCGCTCAGCCAGGATCATTCTCCAGAAGCCCTCCATCTTGGCTTGTGGTTTTCCAGCTTTTCTTCCACCTCTAGGTCAAGATCTGTTCTTCCTGAATTTCGTTCTTCTTGATTCCACTCACCAATCCTGACATGCATTGTTCTCAGACTTATACTTTCTTTCTCTTTCATCTCACCCTCTCCTTAGAAGAATTGACAATAGCTGTTTTATAAGTCAAAGCTCAAAATTTCAGTGACAATGCAACAAATGCTTGTGCCTCACTTTCACAAAGTCTGATAAGGGTTAGGTGACCCTCATCCATGTTGAAATTATGCTATTTGGAAGCCACCAGGGCAGAGGGGACAGTGTGCTAGAAAGGAACCTGAGCTCATCTGAGTTCCCACCAAAAATTACATGTCACCCACTGCTTACTGTTTTCTAGCAAGAAATAATCACATGGCCCTATCTTTTTGCAAGGAAGCCTGGCAAAGGTAAGAGGACACGTGGATGCTTTGGTAAAAGCCAACGGCCAGTGTTGCCTCCTTTACAAATACATACATTTCCTATGACCTGAGCAACTTTGCCTGGTCTTCTTGGGCCTCAGCTTCCTTTTGGTGGGAAGATTCCGGGTGGGGAAGTGCTTCTCCTCAGTGTATTTCCCCCTCAGCCTATCTGGCCCGTCCTT